ACATTGGGGACACCCATTGGAAAGGGCCACCCAGTTGGGTTGGTGTCACCCAAGGGTGCTGGGGACACCCAGTTGCGTTGGCATCACCCAGTGGTGCTGGGGACACCCATTGGGAAGGGACATCCAGTTGGGTTGGTGTCACTCGATGGTGCTGGGGACATCCAGTTGGGTTGGCATCACCCAGTGGTGCTGGGGACACCCATTGGGAAGGGACATCCAGTTGGGTTGGTGTCACCCAATGGCGCTGGGGACACCCAGATGGGTTGGCATCACCCAGTGGCACTGGGAACACCCATTGGAAAGGGACATCCAGTTGGGTTGGTGTCACCCAATGGCATTGGGGGCACCCATTAGGGAGGGACACCCAGTTGGGTTGGTGTCATCCACTAGCACTGGGGACATCCAGAGGAGTTGGTGTCACCCAATGGCCCTGGGGACACCCAGTTGGGTTGGTGACATCCAAGGGCGCTGGAGGGATCTGGTGTCAGCCATGGCTGGTGATGCCACCAATGGGTGCCCCATTGTGGACCCCACTGAAGTGGGTGCCCCTGCTGTGCTGGGGGGGTGTGTGGAGGTGACGTGCACCCTGTGTTCTATGGGGACAGGCACCGATGAGGACCCAGCAAGAAGCAACCGGACCTTCGTGAGCCACCGGCAGTGCCGCGATGCTCTGAAGCTCCAGCTGGGTCAGGACTACCTGCTCTGGGGGCTGGCCACCGACATGTGGGTCACTGGCAACCGGTAAGGACGTGGGGACATGGACAGGGGGTCCTGGGGGCACGGGAACATCGTGGGCCGTGGGGTGACATGGGGAGGTTTGGAGACACGTGGTCATGGTGACACATGGGGGACATGGGGGGCAGGGGTAGATATGGCCATGGTGACAGTGGATATGGGACATGGGGGACATGGGGCATGGGGGACATGGGGCATGGGGGACATGGGGAGGTTTGGAGACGTGGTCATGGTGACACTCGACATGGGACATGGGGGACATGGGACATGGAGGACATAGGGGACATGGGTGTCATGGTAGGTTTGGAGACACATGGCCATGGTGACACTCGACATGGGACATGGGGGACATGGAACATGGAGGACATAGGGGACATGGGTGTCATGGTAGGTTTGGAGACACGTGGCCATGGTGACACTAGATATGGGACATGGGGGACATGGGACACATGGGACATGGGACATGGGTCATGGGTAGGTTTGGAGACACGTGGCCATGGTGACACTAGATATGGGACATGGGGGACATGGGGGACATGGGACACATGGGACATGGGATATAGGGGACACGGGACATGGGTGTCATGAGTAGATATGGAGACAGGCAGCCATGGGGACAGTGACACCCAAGCATTCCCCCTCCCCAAAGCTGAGATTCTCCAGTGTCTCGTACAGGGTTGTGCACCCCCATTGCCCATCCCTTGTGTCGTCCCCCCCCCCAACGAGGTGCCACCTCCTTCTCACCATGTCCCCCTTGATGTCCCCTTGCCTCCAGCTTCTCCTACCTCATCGGCAAGGACACGTGGCTGGAGGCCTGGCCCTCGGAGGCGGCGTGCCAGGAGCCCGACCTACAAGCCCTATGCCAGGACTTCGTGGAGTTTGCGGAGGCCATGACCATGTTTGGGTGCCCCTCGTGAGCACCCATGGGTGCTCCCTACCCTCCTGCCCCTTGGTTTTGTGTTAAAAAGGTCCTTTCTGATCGCCTGGCTCTGGATCTGCGTTGGGTCGTGGGGCCACCAGAGGGGACAATAGGGTGGTGAGGTCTTCAGGGTGGTCACGGGGGCTTTGTAGGGGGCAACAGGACACCATAGGGGATGATGGGATCATGGGGACACCGTAGGGGTTGTGGAGATTCCATAGGAGATGATGAAACTGGGGAGATTCCATAGGGAATGATGGGATTATGTGGTCACCATAGGGGTGATGGGGACTCCATATGGGATGATGGGGTCAGCATAGGGGTGATGGGGACACCATAGGGGATGGTGGGATGATGGGGACACCATAGGGGTGATGGCGACTCCATATGGGATGACGGGATCATGGGGTCACCATAGGGGTGATGGGGACTCCATATGGGATAATGGGATGATGGGGACACCATAGGGGTGATGGAGACTCCATATGGGATGATGGGATCATGGGGTCACCATAGGGGTGATGGGGACTCCATATGGGATGATGGGGTCACCATAGGGGTGATGGCGGCTCCATATGGGATAATGGGATGATGGGGACACCATAGGGATGATGGGGACACCATAGGAGCTGATGGGATCATGGGGACACCATAGGGGCTGTGGGGACCCCATAGGGGATGATGGGATCATGGGGTCACCATAGGCATTGTGGAGACTCCATAGGTGATGATGGCACCATGGGGACACCATAAGGAATGATGGGATCATGGGGACACCATAGGGGTGACGGGGACCCACAGGTCATGGGGACCTCATAGGGAGCGATGGGTTTCCATAGGTGACCACACACCTGGTGCACAGCCCCTGGTGCGCGATGGGGCACGCCTGAGGCACAGGACTGAAGGCTGGTGGGGATTCTCCAGCGGCTCGTATAGGGTTGTGCACGGGGTCACGATGCCCTGGACCCTCCAGACCCCAACCCAGAGGCTTGGGTCCCTCACTGGAAGCCTGTGGAGACCCCTTTGCCCACCCTCAAAGGCCTCAAGCCTGGAGAGCAGTGGGTATTCTCCAGTGGCTTGTATAGGGCTGTGAACAGGGGTGATGGGGGGGGGGGGGTTAGGCAGGGGAGGCCAGGATGCATCCCCCCCCCCAAGTTGAGGGTTGGAATTGAATGAAAGGGGGGGCCACAAGGGGCAAATCTGGGGGTGTTAAGGGCAAATTGGGGTGCCCTGGGGCAGTTTGGGGGGGTCAGGGGTAGATTTGGGGATGCTGGGGCAAACCTATGGGTCTGGATGGGTCAAAATGGGGGTGCAGCGGCTATCTGGGGGGGGGGTGGGTGAGGGCCAACCCAGCCCCTCCCCATTCCCCAGCGCCCTTTGCGCTCAGGAGCAGAGATTCTCTGCTGGCTGCTATGAGGTTGTGCACCCACCACCCCCCCCCCCCCAAACTTCCGGTTGGGGGGGGGTGAATGCAGGGTTGGGGGGGGGGGGGTGTTGGGACCCATATGTGACCCCCCCCATCCCCTCCCCCTTGTTCTTGTTTCCTGCTGCTGAGGCCGGATGAGGCCACGGGGGGGGGGAGGGGAGGGGAGGGGAAATGGGTGGGACCAAAGGGGGGGGTTGGGGTGCATATACATGTATATATGCATTGGCACATGTATGTGCATGCAGACATGTGTGGGTTCGTACACATGCGTATGGGAGCATAAATAACTTTATTAATCAATAAATAATTGTCATTAATAAATTAAGGTCTTAATTTAAGGGGGGGGAAGGGATCCCCCCCCAGGCCTGCTGGGGGGGGGGGGTGGTGGGAACCTGCAGGGACCCCACTTGTCTGCTCCCCAATGGCCCCACCATGGGGGGCTCAGAGGTCTCCATGTGGCCAGCATCAGGGTCCCCCCAAATGGCCACCATGGGGGTGTCCAAGGTCCATTGGTGTCCCCAACCTCTGGGGTCACCAGCACCATGGGTCCAAGCATGGGGGTCAGCAATGGGCCTTGGTGTCCCTTGGTGTCCCCAGGTCTCTGGTCATGGGGGTCAGCAATGCCCATTGATGTCCATTGATGTCCCTCAATCTTTGGTCATGGGGGTCGGCAATGCCCATTGATGTCTATTGGTGTCCATGGATGTCCACTGAGGTCCATTGAGGTCAGCGATGTCCATTGATGGATGTCCGTTGAGGTCAGCGATGCCCATGGGTGTCCATTGATGTCCATGGATATCCATTGAGGTCCATTGAGGTCAGCGATGTCCACTGGTGTCCATTGGTGTCCATTGATATCCATGGATATCCATTGAGGTCCATTGAGGTCAGCGATGTCCATTGATGTCCATTGGTGGATGTCCATTGAGGTCAACGATGTCCATTGATGTCCACTGATGAATGTCCATTGAGGTCAATGATGTCCATTTATGTCCATTGATGGATGTCCATTGAAGTCAGTGGTGTCCACTGAGGTCAGCGATGTCCATTGATGTCCATTGATGTCCCCAGGTTTCTGGCCAAGGGGTTTACCAATGTCCATTGATGTCCATTGGTGTTCATTGACGTCCATTGAGGTCAGTGATGTCCATTGATGTCCATTGGTGTCAGCTGAGGTCAGTGATGTCCATTGATGTCCATTAGTGTCCCCAGGTCTCTGGCCATGGGGGTTACCAATGTCCATTGATGTCCATTGATGTCCATTGGTGTCCCCAGGTCTCTGGCCATGGGGGTTACCAATGTCCATTGATGTCCATTGATGTCCATTGATGTCCATTGATGTCCATTGATGTCCATTGATGTCCCCAGGTCTCTGGCCATGGGGGTTACCAATGTCCATTGATGTCCATTGATATCCATTGATGTCCATTGATGTCCATTGATGTCCCCAGGTCTCTGGCCATGGGGGTTACCAATGTCCATTGATGTCCATTGATGTCCATTGATGTCCATTGATGTCCATTGATGTCCCCAGGTCTCTGGCCATGGGGGTTAACAATGTCCAGTGATGTCCACTGATGTCCACTGATATCCATTGATGTCCATTGATGTCCATTGATGTCCATTGATGTCCATTGATGTCCCCAGGTCTCTGGCCATGGGGGTTACCAATGTCCATTGATGTCCACTGATGTCCACTGATACCCATTGATGTCCATTGATATCCATTGATGTCCATTGATGTCCATTGATGTCCATTGATGTCCCCAGGTCTCTGGCCATGGGGGTTACCAATGTCCATTGATGTCCATTGATGTCCATTGGTGTCCATTGATGTCCATTGATGTCCCCAGGTCTCTGGCCATGGGGGTTACCAATGTCCATTGATGTCCATTGATGTCCCCACCTCCAGCCACACCCTCAACCCATGGCCCCCTCCAACGCCCCCCTGCCCGCACCGCCGTCCCCCGCGATGCGCAGCAGCCCCACAAAGTTCCCCTCTCGCTCATCCTGTGCCAGCTGCCACCCAGCCCCGGCCCCGTCCCCCCCCGGGGCCCCGACCAGCGCCAGGCTCAGCCGTTCCCCGGCTCGGAGCCTCCGCACGGCCTGGACCAGAGCCGAGCGCACGGGGCCGGGGCCATCGCGCAGCGCCACGGGCACGGCGAGCAGCGGGCGCGGGGCCCCGGAGCGGAGGAGCTGGAGGGTGACGGTGCCCGGGGGACAGGCTGGGGCGGTGCAGGTGAGGGCGAGCTGCCCATAGAGCAGGTAGAGCCCGGCCGTGGTCACCCGCAGCACCCCGGCCGTGGCTTGAACGTCGCCGCTGAGGAAGACGCCGCTGATGCCGTGCTCGTAGCGCCAGAGAGGGGAGGATGGCGGCGATAGGGAGCCTGCGGGGGGAGAGGGAGAGGGGTGCTGAGGGGTGGGGAGATGGGTGCTGTTGCTCTCCCGGGTGCACCCACGGCGCCGCAGCTCAGACAGGGGGGTGGGAGAAAGGGAGCACAGGGATGGAGGATGCTCTGTGACACCCTGGGGACTACAGGGATGGAGGATGCTCTGTGACACCCAGGGGACCACAGGGATGGAGGATGCTCTGCGACACCCAGGGGACCAGAGGGATGAAGGATGCTCTGTAATACCCTGGGTACCACAGGGATGGAGGATGCTCCATGACGCCCTGGGGACCACAGGGACAGAGGATTCTCTGTAACACCATGGGTACTACAGGGATGGAGGATGCTCCGTGACATCCTGGGGACCACAGGGATGGAGGATGCTCCATGACATCCTGAGGACTGCAGGGATGGAGGATGCTCCGTGACACCCTGGGGACCACAGGGATGGAGGACGCTCCATGACACCCTGGGGACCACAGGGACAGAGGATGCTCTGTAACACCCTGGGTAACACAGGGATGAAGGATGCTCCATGACACCCTGGGGACCACAGGGACAGAGGATGCTCCATGACACCCAGGGGACCACAGGGATAGAGGATGCTCCATGACACCCAGGGGACACAGGGACAGAGGATGCTCCGTGACCCCCATGGGACCCTGTGACACCCCAGGGGCACTCAATGACACCCTGGGGACCACAGGGATGGAAGATGCTCCATGACACCCTAGGGACCACAAGGACAGAGGATGCTCCATGACACCTTGGGTACCACAGGGACGGATGATGCTCCATGACACCCGGGGGACCACAGGGATGGAGGATGCTCCGTGACACCCTGGGGACCAGAGGGATGGAGGATGCTCCATGACACCCTAGGGACCACAGGGACGGATGATGCTCCATGACACCCTGGGTACAAGGATGGTGGATGCTCCGTGACACCCTGGGTACCACAGGGACAGATGATGCTCCATGACACCCTGGGTACAAGGATGGAGGATGCTCCATGACACCCTAGGGACCACAGGGACGGATGATGCTCCATGACACCCTGGGTACAAGGATGGAGGATGCCCCATGACACCCTAGGGACCACAGGGACAGATGATGCTCCATGACACCCTGGGTACAAGGATGGAGGATGCTCCATGACACCCTGGGTACCACAGGGACGGATGATGCTCCATGACACTCTGGGTACCACAAGGATGGAGGATGCTCCGTGACATCATGGGTACCACAGGGACGGAGGATGCTCCATGACACCCAGGGTACCAAAAGGACAAAGGATGCTCCATGACACCCTGGGGACCCTGTGACACCATGGCTGCCCTGTGACATGTCCGGATGCTGCAGGCCTTGGGGTGATGTTTCCATTGTGAGGGCGGAAGGAGGAACCCAGAGGAGGGTTTTCGAGATGACTGAGCCGCCCACCTAAGGAAGGGCCTGTCCCCACCTCCCTTGTCCCCACAGAGAGCCCCTCGTGGTGGCCTCAGGCCTTGGGGACTTACCAGCACTCAGCAGCATGTGGGCAGCTGTGGCAGCCTGAGGAGAGAAAGGAAACGAGTGTCAGGAAGCACCCAAAGCGTCCTTGTCCCCAGTGTGTCCCTCGGGGAAGGGGAACTTGGCGTAGTATTGGGATGTGGGGACTTTCCAGCATCCCTCCGGGTACTCTGGGGGGTCCTCAAGCAAGGGGGTGAGCCCTGGATATGGGGGATTTCGTGTGTTTGGGGGTGGGAAACTGAGGCAGGGGGAAGGATTGGGGGTCTCCAAGAGCCAGGCAGGGGGTGGATACCCTGGTCAGCAGGGAGGGAGGGAAGGATGGAGGGAGGGATGGATGAGGGATGGAGGGATGATGGATGGATGGATGGATGGATGGATGGATGGATGGATGGATGGATGAGGGATGATGGATGGATGGAGGGATGGAGGGATGAAGAGATGGAGGGAGGGCTGAAGGGATGGATGGAGGGATGGATGGATGAAGGGATGATGGATGGATGGATGAAGGGATGGATGAAGGGATGGATGGATGAAGGAATGGATGGATGAAGGAATGGATGGATGAAGGGATGGATGGATGGATGAAGGGATGATGGATGTACACCACCAGGATGTGCAACCTGGATGGACATTGGAGGAACAGAGACAGCCGGAAGGACGGGAAGGATGGAGGGAGGAAGTGAGGGATGGATGGGTGACTGATGATGGATGGAGGGATGGTTGATGGATGGATGAATGGATGGACGGACACCACCAGGATGTGCAACCTGAGTGGACACTGGAGGTAAAGACACCCAGAAGGATGGGAAGGGGCAGCTGGGATGGACAGACAACTGGATGGACACCCGGAGGGATGGACAGACACCCAGATGGATGCTCGGACAAGCGGACACAGACGGACACCAGGGCAGACACTCGGACACTGGGACAGAGGGACTCGGGGGTTGGGGGGGGCACGGACACGGACCTGCGGCGGGGTCCCCCACTGGAGCATCCCCCAATGGAGCATCCCCAGGAGGGCAGCGGCCGCTGCGGCGGCTCCGAGAGCGGCGGCTCCGAGCGCGGCGAGAACCGGGAAGAGGCGGCGGCGGCGGCTCCGGTCCCGGTCCCGGTCCCGGTCCCAATCGCGGTCGTGGCCGGGAGGCAGCGGAAGGGACTCGGGATCGGCGATCGGCGGCATCGCAGCAGGGAGCGAGCGGCGGAGCCGCCTCTTAAAGGGACCGGAGCGGGGAGGGACCGGGGCTGGGACCGGAGGTGGGGACCGGAGGTGGGGACCAGCGGCCTCGGGGGCGGGGGGAGCCCGGCCGGGACACGGGATGGGATGGGATGGGATGGGATAGGATGGGGGGGGGGAATCCAGTCCGAGTGACGTCACCTCCCCCCTTCCCCAAAGGGGATTTCGCCTCCTTCGGTCGCTTCCTGCTCCCGGAGGGGGGACATCGGGAATGGGAAGGGGATGGGGGGGGGACGGGAAATGACACAAGCAACGGGGGGGGGAAACACCCCCCTATGGGAGAACCCCCCATTGAGAACATCCGCCCCCCCCCATAGAGAACACAGCCACTATGGGAGAACCCCCATTGAGAACATACCCCCCGCCACTGGAAGCACCCCCCTATAGGAGACCCCCCCGCATTGAAAACACCCCCCCCCCCCCCATGAGAAACACCCCCTATGGGAGAACCCCCATTGAGAACATTCCCCTCCCATAGAGAGCACCCCCCTATAGGAGACCCCCCCCCATTGAAAACACCCCCCACGGGAAACACCCCCCTTTGGGAGAACCCCCACTGAGAACATTCCCCCCTATTGAGACACCCCCCCCCCCCCCCGCCACTTGAAGCACCCCCCTATAGGAGACCCCCCCCATTGAAAACACTCCCCCCCCCATGAGAAACACCCCCCTATGGGAGAACCCCCATTGAGAACATTCCCCCCCCATTGAGAACCCCCCCCATTGAAAACACCCACCCCCCCCCCATGGGAAACACCCCCCTATGGGAGAACCCCCCCCCATTGAAAACACACCCCCCCCCCCCCCCATGGGAGAACCCCCATTGAGAACAACCCCACCCCATGGGAAACACCCCCCTATGGGAGACACCCCCCCCCTCCATTAGGAACACCCCCATATGGGAGCCCCCCACATGGAGAACACCCCCCCTATGGGAAGCACCCCCCTATGGGAGACCCCCCCATTGAGAACACCCCCCCCAAGGGAAAACCCCCCCCTGTGGGAAATCCTCCCATAGAAGACCCCCCCCCCCAGGAAGACCCCAGCCATGGGACCCCCCCTCCCCAAGACACCCCCCAAGTGCCCCCCACCCCCATAAGCCCCCTATGGAAACCCCATCGAAATGGGACCCTCATCGATGCCCCCCCCCCCCCCCCAAGACCCCCCCCTAATTCCAATGGGGTTCCCCCTATAAGTGACCCCCCCTCCCCGTAACACCCCCCCCCCTCCAACGGGGGAACCCCCCCCCCCCCCATTGGGGAGTTCTCTGTCAGGCCCCACCCCTCCCTGCCATGACCCCGCCCCCTTTAGCCCCGCCCCCTTCCGTGCACCCCCAAGGTCACAGGAGGCCACGCCCCCTCCCCTCTATTGAACCAATCAGCGCTCTCGCGGGGTTGACGCCAATGGGGGGGGGGGGGGGGGAGGTGCCGGAAGACTGAGTCATGTGACTCCGTGCGCTCGGTGCTGGGCAGGGGGGGAGGGGAAGGGATGGGGGGAGGGACGCGGGAACAGCTGGGGGGGAGGGAGGGGGGGAGCGGTCATGGGCGGGGCTTAAAGGGAGTGGGCGGGGTTACGGAGTGGGCGGGGCCTCGGAGCTTCCGGGCAGGGCAGGTTGGTGCGGGGTGAAGGGGGGGGGGAGCGTGGGAACCGGGGGGGATTGGGGGGGGGGGCGAGGGACACCCATGGGGGGGGGGGGGGTGTCTCGAATGGGGGGGACCAAGGGACACCCGTTGGGGGGGGGGTATGGAACGGGGGGTGTCCCGAAGGGGGGGGGGGGCGTGGGTTGGGGTGTCCCCATGGGGGGGGGCATGGGAACGGGAGGTCTTAAGGGGGGGGGGGGCCGTGGGATGGGGTGTCCCCATGGGGGGGGGCATGGGAACGGGAGGTCTTAAGGGGGGGGGGGGCCGTGGGATGGGGTGTCCCCATGGGGGGGGGGGGGGCATGGGAACGGGTGGTCTTAAGGGGAGGGGGGCGTGGGATGGGGTGTCCCCATGGGGGGGGTCATGGGAACCGGGGGTCTTAAGGGGGGGTGCCGTTGGATGGGGTATCCCCATGGGGGGGGGGGCATGGGAACGGGGGGGTCTTAAGGGGAGGGGGGTGTGGGATGGGGTGTCCCCATGGGGGGGGTCATGGGAACCAGGGGGTCTTAAAGGGGGTGACCGAGGGACACCCGTGGGGGGTCATGGGAAGGGGGGGGTCTTAAAGGGGGACACACCAAGGGTCACCCATGGGGGCCGTAGGATGGGGTATCCCCATCCGGGGGGGTATTAATGGAGGGGGGGACACTCATGGGGGTCCCCTTTGGGGGGGGTCCATAATGCTGGGGGGGGTCCAGGGGTGACGGGGAGTCCCTGGTGGGGGGTCATAGGAAGTGGGGGGTGTAAGGGGTGACGATGGGTGGTGATGGGGTGGGCATTGTGTGAGGGGGGAGACACGGTGTTGGGGTGCCCCTAAGGACAAGGGGGGCACCAAGGATGGGGGGGGAACACATGGGGTGCCCCCCAGGATGAGGGGGACCAGGTGAAGCCACAGCAGGACTGAGCTCGTCCCCTTTGTCACAGGGACCCGTTGCCACCTCCCCATCACCCGGCAGGTACCTGGGCCCCCACCCCCAAAACCGCCCTAAAACGGGATGGTTTTGCCCAATTTGAGCCTTTTTTGGCCCCGTTTTGCTTCCAGAAGGGGGGGGGAATTGGGGTTTAGGGGTAAACTCTGGCTCCTGGTCTGGTTCTGGGTGTGGGAAGTGATCAAAGGGCTGTGGATGAGGGGGGAGTCAGGCTGGGTTTGACAGCAGCAGCCTCTGCCCTGGGGTCATTGCAGCGCCTTCGTTAGGGGTAATTATGCAAAGGAGCTGGGATGGGGCTGGGAAGGGCTGCGGGGTCTGGTTAAACCAGGTCCAGTGACTTGGGTCCAGTTAAACTGGATTCAGTGACTTGGGTCCAGTTAAACTGGGTTCAGTGAATTGGGTCCAGTTAAACCAGGTCCAGTGACTTGGGTCCAGTTAAACTGGGTTCAGTGACTTGGGTCCAGTTAAACTGGGTTCAGTGAATCGGGTCCAGTTAAACTGGGTTCAGTTCCTCAGGTCCAGTTAAACTGGGTTCAGTGAATTGGGTCCAGTTAAACTGGGTTCAGTGAATTGGGTCCAGTTAAACTGGGTTCAGTGACTTGGGTCCAGTTAAACTGGGTTCAGTGAATTGGGTCCAGTTAAACTGGGTTCAGTGAATTGGGTCCAGTTAAACTGGGTTCAGTGACTTGGGTCCAGTTAAACTGGGTTCAGTGACTTGGGTCCAGTTAAACTGGGTTCAGTGAATTGGGTCCAGTTAAACTGGGTTCAGTGAATTGGGTCCAGTTAAACTGGGTTCAGTGAATTGGGTCCAGTTAAACTGGGTTCAGTGACTTGGGTCCAGTTAAACTGGGTTCAGTGACTTGGGTCCAGTTAAACTGGGTTCAGTGACTTGGGTCCAGTTAAACTGGGTTCAGTGACTTGGGTCCAGTTAAACTGGGTTCAGTGAATTGGGTCCAGTTAAACTGGGTTCAGTGAATTGGGTCCAGTTAAACCAGGTCCAGTGACTTGGGTCCAGTTAAACTGGGTTCAGTGACTTGGGTCCAGTTAAACTGGGTTCAGTGACTTGGGTCCAGTTAAACTGGGTTCAGTGAATCGGGTCCAGTTAAACTGGGTTCAGTTCCTCAGGTCCAGTTAAACTGGGTTCAGTGAATTGGGTCCAGTTAAACTGGGTTCAGTGAATTGGGTCCAGTTAAACTGGGTTCAGTGAATTGGGTCCAGTTAAACTGGGTTCAGTGAATCGGGTCCAGTTAAACTGGGTCCAGTGACTTGGGTCCAGTTAAACTGGGTTCAGTGACTTGGGTCCAGTTAAACTGGGTTCAGTGACTTGGGTCCAGTTAAACTGGGTTCAGTGAATCGGGTCCAGTTAAACTGGGTCCAGTGACTTGGGTCCAGTTAAACTGGGTTCAGTGACTTGGGTCCAGTTAAACTGGGTTCAGTGAATTGGGTCCAGTTAAACTGGGTTCAGTGACTTGGGTCCAGTTAAACTGGGTTCAGTGAATTGGGTCCAGTTAAACTGGGTTCAGTTCCTCAGGTCCAGTTAAACTGGGTTCAGTGAATTGGGTCCAGTTAAACTGGGTTCAGTGAATTGGGTCCAGTTAAACTGGGTCCAGTGAATCGGGTCCAGTTAAACTGGGTTCAGTTCCTCAGGTCCAGTTAAACTGGGTTCAGTGAATTGGGTTCAGTTAAACTGGGTTCAGTTCCTCAGGTCCAGTTAAACTGGGTCCAGTGACTTGGGTCCAGTTAAACTGGGTTCAGTGAATTGGGTCCAGTTAAACTGGGTTCAGTGAATTGGGTCCAGTTAAACTGGGTTCAGTGAATTGGGTCCAGTTAAACTGGGTTCAGTGAATTGGGTCCAGTTAAACTGGGTTCAGTGAATTGGGTCCAGTTAAACTGGGTTCAGTGAATCGGGTCCAGTTAAACTGGGTTCAGTGAATTGGGTCCAGTTAAACTGGGTTCAGTGAATCGGGTCCAGTTAAACTGTGTTCAGTGAATTGGGTCCAGTTAAACTGGGTTCAGTGAATCGGGTCCAGTTAAACTGGGTTCAGTGACTTGGGTCCAGTTAAACTGGGTTCAGTGAATTGGGTCCAGTTAAACTGGGTTCAGTGAATTGGGTCCAGTTAAATTGGGTTCAGTGAATCGGGTCCAGTTAAACTGGGTTCAGTGACTTGGGTCCAGTTAAACTGGGTTCAGTGACTTGGGTCCAGTTAAACTGGGTTCAGTGAATTGGGTCCAGTTAAACTGGGTTCAGTGAATTGGGTCCAGTTAAACTGGGTTCAGTGAATTGGGTCCAGTTAAACTGGGTTCAGTGAATTGGGTCCAGTTAAACTGGGTTCAGTGAATCGGGTCCAGTTAAACTGGGTTCAGTGAATTGGGTCCAGTTAAACTGGGTTCAGTGAATCGGGTCCAGTTAAACTGTGTTCAGTGAATTGGGTCCAGTTAAACTGGGTTCAGTGAATCGGGTCCAGTTAAACTGGGTTCAGTGACTTGGGTCCAGTTAAACTGGGTTCAGTGAATTGGGTCCAGTTAAACTGGGTTCAGTGAATTGGGTCCAGTTAAATTGGGTTCAGTGAATCGGGTCCAGTTAAACTGGGTTCAGTGACTTGGGTCCAGTTAAACTGGGTTCAGTGAATCGGGTCCAGTTAAACTGGGTTCAGTGACTTGGGTCCAGTTAAACTGGGTTCAGTTCCTCAGGTCCAGTTAAACTGGGTTCAGTGAATTGGGTCCAGTTAAACTGGGTTCAGTGAATTGGGTCCAGTTAAACTGGGTTCAGTGAATCGGGTCCAGTTAAACTGGGTTCAGTGAATTGGGTCCAGTTAAACTGGGTTCAGTGAATTGGGTCCAGTTAAACTGGGTTCAGTGAATTGGGTCCAGTTAAACTGGGTTCAGTGAATTGGGTCCAGTTAAACTGGGTTCAGTGACTTGGGTTCAGTTAAACTGGGTTCAGTGAATTGGGTCCAGTTAAACTGGGTTCAGTGAATTGGGTTCAGTTAAACTGGGTTCAGTGAATTGGGTCCAGTTAAACTGGGTTCAGTGACTTGGGTCCAGTTAAACTGGGTTCAGTGAATTGGGTCCAGTTAAACTGGGTTCAGTGAATTGGGTCCAGTTAAACTGGGTTCAGTGACTTGGGTCCAGTTAAACTGGGTTCAGTTCCTCAGGTCCAGTTAAACTGGGTTCAGTGACTTGGGTCCAGTTAAACTGGGTTCAGTTCCTCAGGTCCAGTTAAACTGGGTTCAGTGAATTGGGTTCAGTTAAACTGGGTTCAGTTCCTCAGGTCCAGTTAAACTGGGTTCAGTGTATTGGGTTCAGTTAAACTGGGTTCAGTGAATCGGGTCCAGTTAAACTGGGTTCAGTGACTGGGGTCCAGTTAAACTGGGTTCAGTGAATCGGGTCCAGTTAAACTGGGTTCAGTGAATTGGGTCCAGTTAAACTGGGTTCAGTGAATTGGGTTCAGTTAAACTGGGTTCAGTGACTGGGGTCCAGTTAAACTGGGTTCAGTGAATTGGGTCCAGTTAAACTGGGTTCAGTGACTTGGGTCCAGTTAAACTGGGTTCAGTGAATTGGGTTCAGTTAAACTGGGTTCAGTGAATTGGGTCCAGTTAAACTGGGTTCAGTGAATTGGGTTCAGTTAAACTGGGTTCAGTGAATTGGGTTCAGTTAAACTGGGTTCATCCCAGGTTGGAATATGTGGGATGGGGACAGGTATTGGGATGGGGATAAGGATGAGGATGAGGATGGGGATGGGGATGGGGATAGGGATAAGGATGGGGACAGGGATGAGGATGAGGATGGGGATAGGGATGGGGATAGGGATAAGGGTGGGGACAGGGATGGGGATGAGGATGGGGACAGGGATGGGGATGAGGATGGGGACAGGAATGGGGACAAGGATGGGGACAGGGATGGGGATGAGGATGCGGACAGGGATGGGGATGAGGATGGCGACAGGGATGGGGATGAGCACGGGGACAGGGATGGGGATGAGGATGGCGCCAGTGACCCCCATCTCCGGCCTTTGCCTTTGCCTTTTTCTCCCTCCCAACGCCCATTTCCCAGCTCCCAGCATTCCCCATGGATCTCATCAGCATCGCCTGCGCCGCTCTCCTGGCACTGCCCGTGGTGGCCCTCATGGCACTGGCGCATCGCCTGGGGCTCCTCTACCAGCTCTTCCATCAGGTAGCACAAAACGGGCTGAGAACGGGGTGCTTTGGCCCCTTCCCACCTCTTGGAGCTGGTGGCAACCTTCGGGTGTGCTCCCGGTGACCACGGCACCATGCAGGTGGACCCCCAAAGCCCCCGGCACGGTGGGGAGCTGGTGGCGGAGGTGCTGAAGGCGCACGGGGTCCGCTTCATCTTCACCCTGGCTGGTGGCCACATCTCCCCTGTCCTGGTGGCCAGCGAGAAGGTGGGGATCCGAGTGGTGGACACCAGGCACGAGGCCACCGCGGTCTTTGCCGCTGATGCCGTCTCCAGGATCTCCGGTGAGGATGTGGAGGGGTTTGTGGTGATCCCATCCATGGTCAGCATCTCCTGCCCCAATGGATGGAGGGGTTTGGGGTGACCCCATCCATGGTCAGCATCTCCTGCCCCCATGGATATGGATGGGTTTGGAGTGACCCCATCCATGGTCAGCATCTCCTTCCCCAGTGGATGGATGTGTTTGGGGTGATCCCATCCATGGTCAACATCTCCTGCCCCAATGGGTGGAGGGGTTTGAGGTGATCCCATCCATGGTCAGCATCTCCTGCCCCAGTGGATGGAGGGGTTTGAGGTGATCCCATCCATGGTCAGCATCTCCTGCCCCCATGGATATGGATGCGTTTGGGGTGACCCCATCCATGGTCAGCATCTCCTGCCCCAATGGATGGATGGGTTTGGAGTGACCCCATCCATGGTCAGCATCTCCTGCCCCAATGGATGGATGGGTTTGGGGTGACCCCATCCATGGTCAGCATCTCCTGCCCCCATGGATATGGATGGGCTTGGTGTGATCCCATCCATGGTCAGCATCTCCTGCCCCAATGGATATGGGTGGGTTTGGGGTGATCCCATCCATGGTCAGCATCTCCTGCCCCAATGGATATGGATGGGTTTGAGGTGATCCCATCCATGGTCAGCATCTCCTGCCCTAATGGGAGGAGGGGTTTGGGGTGGTCCCATCCATGGTCGGCATCTCCTGCCCCAATGGATGGAGAGGTTTGAGGTGATCCCATCCATGGTCAGCATCTCCTGCCCCAATGGATATGGATGGGTTTGGGATGACCCCATCCATTGGCCTCCCCTTAGGTCGCATCGGCGTCGCCGTGGTCACCGCCGGTCCCGGTGTCACCAACACGGTGACGGCCGTCAAGAACGCCCAGATGGCCGAGTCCCCATTGCTGCTCATCGGGGGCGCAGCCGCCTCCCTGCAGAAGGTGGGACCCCAAAACCAACCCATTTTGGGGGGTTCTTCACCCATTCTTGGGGGTTTCTTCACCCAACTTGGGGCATTCACCCATTTTGGGGTGTTCTTCACCCGATTTGGGGGGGTTTTCACCCATTTTGGGGGGTTCTTCTGTTTTTTTGGGGTTCTGTTTTTTTTGGGTTCTTCTGTTTTTTGGGGGGTTCTTCACCCAATTTGGGGCATTCACCCATTTTGGGGGGCTCTTCACCCATTTTGAGTGGCTCTTTACCCATATTTGGGTGTTCTTCACCCATTTTTGGAGGTTCTTCACCCTTTTGGGGGATTCTTCACCCATTTTGGGGGATTCTTCACTATTTTTTTGGTTCTCCACCCATTTTTGGGGGCTTCACCCATTTTTGGGGGTTCACCCAATTTGGGGAGGTTTTCACCCATTTTGGGGGGTTCTTCACCCAATTTGGGGAGGTTTTCACCCATTTTGGGGGGTTCTTCTGTGTTTGGGTGGTTCTTCACCACTTTTGGGCGGTTCTTCACCTAATTTGGGGCATTCACCCATTTTGGGGGGCTCTTCACCGATTTTGGGTGGCTCTTTACCCATATTTGGGTGTTCTTCACCCATTTTTGAAGGTTCTTCACCCTTTTGGGGGATTCTTCACCCATTTTGGGGGGCTTCACCCATTTTTGGGGGTTCACCCAATTTTAGGAGGTTATCACCCATTTTGGGAGGTTATTCACTTTTGGGGGGTTCTTCACTTTTGGGGGGTTCTTCACCCCTTTTGGGGCATTCTTCACCCATTTTAGGGGGTTCACCCATTTTTGGGTGTTCTTCACCCATGTTGGAGGTTCTGCACCCATTTTTGGAGGTTCACCCATTTTTCGAGTTCTTCACCCATTTGGGGGGATTCTTCACTGTTTTTTTGGTTCTTCACCCATTTGGAGGGTTCTTCACCCGTTTGAGGGGATTTTCCACCCATTTTTGGGGGGTTCTTCACCCATTTTGGGGTTCTTCACCTGGTTTTTGTTTTCTTAACTTTTGGGGGGGTTTCACCCAATTTTGGGGATTCTTCACCCATTTTGGGGTGTTCTTCACTCATTTTTTAGGTTCTTCACCTATTTTGGGGTGTTCTTCACCCATTTGTTTTTTTTTTACCTGGTTTTGGGGGTTTCTTCTCCCATTTTGGGGGTTCATCCATTTTGGGGGTTCTTCGCCAATTTTGGGTCTTCTTCTCCCATTCTTGGGGTTCTTCACCCATTTGGGGGGTTCTTGACCCCTTTTGGGGATTCACCCCTTTTGGGCATTCTTCACCCATTTTGGGCATTCTTCACCCATTTGGGGGGTTTCTTCACCCATTTTTGGCCATTCACCCATTTTTGGCCATTCTTCACCCATTTTGGGTCTTCTTCGCCCATTCTTGGGGTTCTTCACCCATTTTGAGCATTCTTCACCCATCTGGGGGGTTTCTTCACCCATTTTGGGCATCCTTCACTCATTTTTGGGCATCCTTCACCCATTTTGGCGGTTTCTTCACCCATTTTGGGGGTTTCTTCACCCATTTTTGAGGTTTCTTCACCCATTTTGGGGGTCCTCCCCTCCCCAGGGCCGCGGAGCTCTGCAGGACATTGACCAGCTCTCGCTCTTCAGGACCCTCTGCAAAGCGACCGTCTCGGTGCGAACGGTGCGGGGCATCGTCCCAACGCTCCGCAAAGCCATCGCCACCGCGCAGTCGGAGACCCCAGGTAAGGAATTGGGGTGGTGGCCCCCCAAAACCCCATCCAGGTTCAGGGTGATGGGTTTCATCCCCACCGTGGGTCATCCAGTGTGGGTTTTGGGGTGATATGGGTGGAATCAGTGGGGTATAACCCCCAAAGTTGTTTTGGGGTGACATTGGGATCTTCTCCGTTGCCATCACCGCTAGCGCCATCAAGGACCACCAGTAAGGAGTTAGGTTGGTGGTACCCCAAAACCAGCCCCAAGTTTGTGGTGGTGGGTTTTATCCTTACCATGGGTCATCCAGTGTGGGTTTTGGGGTGATATTGATGGAATCAGTGGTGTTTAAGCCCTCAAAGTGGTTTTGGGGTGACACTGGGGTCTTCTCCATTGCCATCTCCACCATGCAGTCAAGGACCACCAATAGGGAGTTGGGGTGGTGGCACCCCAAAACCACATCTAGGTTCAGGGTGATGGGGTTCATCCCCACCATGGGTCATCCAGTGTGGGTTTTGGGGTGATACTGATGGAATCAGTGGGGTATAACCCCCAAAGTGGTTTTGGGATGACATTGAGGTGCTCTCCATTACCATCACCACCACGCAGTCAAGGACCACCAATAAGGAGTTGGGGTGGTGATACTCCAAAACCACCCCCAAGTTTGTGGTGGTGGGTTTCGTCCCCACCATGGGTCATCTGATGTGGTTTTTGGGGTGATATTGATGGAATCAGTGGGGTATAACCCCCACAGTGGTTTTGGGGTGACATTTGGGTCCTCTCCATTGCCATCACCACCACGCAGTCAAGGAGCATCACTAAGGAGTTGGGGTGGTGGCACCCCAAAACCCCATCCAGGTTCAGGGTGATGGGGTTCATCCCCACCATGGGTCATCCAGTGTGGGTTTTGGGGTGATATGGATGGAATCAGTGGGGTTTAAGCCCACAAAATGGTTTGGGGGTGACATTGGGGTCTTCTCCATTGCACCCCACTCCCCTAGGACCCGTCTTCGTGGAGCTCCCCATCGATGTCCTGTACCCCTTCCATGTGGTGCAGAAGGAGATCACTGGCACCAAGAGCGCCCGGGGGCTGCGGGGGAAGGTGGTTCAATGGTGAGCAGCACCCCCAAATGGGACCCAGCACCCCCAAACGGGACCCATCCCCTCCAAACGGGACCCATCCCATCCATAGGTACCTCCAAAACTACATCCGGAACCTCTTTGCGGGTGCTTGGGACCCCCAGGATGTGTCCCCGTTGCCAGTGAAGGTGCCGTTGGCCACTGAGGATGAGGTGGGATATGGGGGGGATACAGCATGGATTGGGGCTTTGGGGGTCTGGGGATGGGGGGATTGTAGGGGGATGAGGTGGGATGGGTTTGGGATTGGGTGGGGTGGGGTTGGGATTGGATGGGGTGGGTTTGGAAGCACTGGGATGGGTTTGGGATCGGATGGGGTGGGTTTGGGATTGGATGGGGTGGGTTTGGGATTGGATGGGGTGGGTTTGGAAGCACTGGGGTGGGTTTGGGGTTGGATGGGGTGGGTTTGGGATTGGATGGAGTGGGTTTGGGATTGGATGGGGTGGGTTTGGAAGCACTGGGGTGGGTTTGGGATTGGATGGGGTGGGTTTGGGATTGAGCAGAACTGGGGTTTGGGGTTAAATCAGCCGAGTTTGGGATTGGATGAACCAGGTTTGGGGCCAAATGAAGCTGGGTGGAGGTGTTTTGGGTCTGATGGAGGGTGATTCTGGGTCGGTGGGATTTTGGGTCCAAAGGAGGTGATTTGGGTCTGAAGGAGCTGATTTTGGGTCTGAAGGTGATTTTGGTTCTGAGTTGATTTTGGGTGTGAAGGAGGTGATTTTGGGTGTGAAGGAGGTGATTTTGGGTGTAAAGGTGATTTTGGGTGTGAAGGAGGTGATTTGGGATGTGAAGGAGGTGATTTTGGGTGTGATGGAGGTGATTTTGGGTGTGAAGGTGATTTTGGTTCTGAGTTGATTTTGGGTGTGAAGGAGGTGATTTTGGGTGTAAATGAGGTGATTTTGGGTGTGCTGGAGGTGATTTTGGGTGTAAAGGAGGTGATTTTGGGTGTGAAGGAGGTGATTTTGGTATAAATGAGGTGATTTTGGGTGTAAATGAGGTGATTTTGGGTGCGAAGGAGGTGATTTTGGGTGTGAAGGAGGTGATTTTGGGTGGAAAGGAGGTGATTTTGGGTTTAAATGAGGATTTTGGGTGCGCTGGAGGTGATTTTGGGTGTAAGTGAGGTGATTTTGGGTGTAAAGGAGGTGATTTTGGGTATAAAGGAGGTGATTTTGGGTGTGAAAGAGGTGATTTTGGGTGTAAATGAGGTGATTTTGGGTGTAAATGAGGTGATTTTGGTATAAATGAGGTGATTTTGGGTGTGAAAGAGGTGATTTTGGGTGTAAATGAGGTGATTTTGGGTGTGAAGGAGGTGATTTTGGGTGTAAATGAGGGGATTTTGGTTGTAAATGAGGTGATTTTGGTGTGAAGGAGGTGATTTTGGGTGTAAATGAGGTCATTTTGGGTGTAAAGGAGGTTATTTTGGGTATAAAGGAGGTGATTTTGTGTGTGAAAGAGGTGATTTTGGTATAAATGAGGTGATTTGGGGTGTAAATGAGGTGATTTTGGGTCCAGGTCCAGCGCTGTGCGGAGCTGCTGAGCAGGGCCACCAAGCCCCTGGTGCTGGTGGGCAGCCAGGCCCTGCTGCCCCCGACCCCGGCCGAGGAGCTGCGGTGAGGCCAGGATGGGGCTGGGGGGAGGAACTGATTTGGGGACAATTGAGGTGGTTTTGGGTACAAATCAGCCAGTTTTGGGGTCCAATGAACTGGTTTGGGGATGGAGGAACTGGTTTGGGGATGGAGTAATGGGTTTGGGGATGGAGGAACCGGTTTGGGGACAATTGAGCTGGTTTTGGGGACAGATCAGCCTATTTGGGGACCAATGAACTGGTTTGGGGATGGAGGAACCGGTTTGGGGATGGAGGAACGAGTTTGGGGACAATTGAGATGGTTTTGGGGACAAATCAGCCAATTTTGGGTCCAATGAACCGGTTTGGGGAAGGAGGAACCAGTTTGGGGATGGAGGAACCAGTTTGGGGAGGGAGGAACGAGTTTGGGGACAATTGAGATGGTTTTGGGGACAAATCAGCCAATTTTGGGTCCAGTGAACTGGTTTGGGGATGGAGGAACCAGTTTGGGGACAATTGAGCTGGTTTTGGGGACAGATCAACCAATATTGGGTCCAATGAACTGGTTTGGGGATGGTGGAGCCAGTCTGGGGACAGTTCAGATGGTTTTGGGGACAGATCAGCCAATATTGGGTCCAATGAACTGGTTTGGGGATGGAGGGACTGGTTTGGGGACAGTTGAGCTGGTTTTGGGGACAGATCAACCAATTTGGGGACCAATGAACTGGTTTGGGGATGGAGGAACCGGTTTGGGGAGGGAGGAACCAGTTTGGGGACAGTTGAGCTGGTTTTGGGGACAGATCAACCAATTTGGGGACCAATGAACTGGTTTGGGGATGGAGGAACCGGTTTGGGGAGGGAGGAACCAGTTTGGGGACAATTGAGATGGTTTTGGGGACAGATCAGACAATTTGGGGACCAATGAACCGGTTTGGGGATGGAGGAACCAGTTTGGGGAGGGAGGAATGAGTTTGGGGACAATTGAGATGGTTTTGGGGACAAATCAGCCAATTTTGGGTCCAGTGAACTGGTTTGGGGATGGAGGAACCAGTTTGGGGATGGAGGAACCAGTTTGGGGAGGGAGGAACGAGTTTGGGGACAATTGAGATGGTTTTGGGGACAAATCAGCCAATTTTGGGTCCAGTGAACTGGTTTGGGGATGGAGGAACCAGTTTGGGGACAATTGAGATGGTTTTGGGGACAGATCAGCCAATATTGGGTCCAATGAACTGGTTTGGGGATGGAGGAACCGGTTTGGGGATGGAGGAACCAGTTTGGGGACAATTGAGCTGGTTTTGGGGACAGATCAACCAATATTGGGTCCAATGAACTGGTTTGGGGATGGAGGGACTGGTTTGGGGACAGTTGAGCTGGTTTTGGGGCCAAATCAGCCAATTTGGGGTCCAGTGAACCGGTTTGGGGATGGAGGAACCGGTTTGGGGGTGGAGGAACCAATTTGGGGATGGTTTGGGAACAGTGGAGCTGGATTTGGGGACAGATCTGCCAATTTAGGGTCTGGTGAGATGGTTTGGGGATGGAGGAGCTGATTTGGGGATGGAGGAACCAGTTTGGGGCCAATTGAGCTGGATTTGGGGCTGGACCATCAATTTGGGGACAGCAGAGCCACGTTTGGGTCTGCCTGAGCCCATTTTGGGCTCAAATGCACCGATTTTGGGGCCAAACTGAACCGCTCGTGGGGTACCCTGAGCCAACCACATTTTGGGGTGAAAGCACCCAATTTGGGGCCACAACCATCGCGGTTTTGGGGCTGAAACCACGGAATTGAGGTGGTTTTGGTGCTCACTGACCCCATGTGTGTCCTGTCCGTCCCCCCCCCCCCAGTGCAGCGCTGGAGGCTCTGGGGGTCCCCTGTTACTTGGGGGGCGCAGCGAGGGGGCTCCTGCCCCCCAACAGCCCCATCCTCCTGCGGCAGAGCCGGCGTGAGGCCCTGCGGGAGGCAGACCTGGTGCTGCTGGCAGGTACCGGGATGGGGCTGGGATGGGGTCGGGATGGGGCTGGGATGGGGTCGGGATAGAGCTGGGATGGGGCTGGGATGGGGTTGGGATGAGGTAGGGATGGGGCTGGGATGGGGTCGGGATGGGGTAGGGATGGGGCTGGGATGGGGTCGGGATGGGGCTGGGATGGGGTCAGGATAGGACTGGGATGGGGCTGGGATGGGATCAGGTTGGCGTCAGGATGGGGCTGGGATGGGGTCGGGATGGGGCTGGGGTGGGATTCGGATGGGGTTGGGATGGGGCTGGGATGGGGTTGGGATGGGGCTGGGGTGGGATTGGGATGGGGTCAGGATGCGGCTGGGATGAGGTCGGGATGGGGCTGGGATGGGGTTGGGATGGGATCAGGATGGGGCTGGGGTGGGGTCGGGATGGGGTAGGGATGGGGCTGGGATGGGGTCGGAATGGGGCTGGGATGGGGTCGGGATAGGCCTGGGATGGGGCTGGGATGGGATCAGGTTGGGGTCAGGATGGGGCTGGGATGGGGTCGGGCTGGGGTGGGATTGGGATGGGGTTGGGATGGGGCTGGGATGGGATCGGGATGGGGCTGGGGTGGGATTGGGATGGGGTCAGGATGCGGCTGGGATGAGGTCGGGATGGGGCTGGGATGGGGTTGGGATGGGATCAGGATGGGGCTGGGGTGGGATGGGGCTCGGATGGGATCAGGTTGGGGTCGGGATGCGGCTGGGATGGAGTGGGATGGGGTCAGGATGTGGTGGGGAAGCGGCTGGGATGGGGTCAGGATGCAGCTGGGATGGAGTCGGGATGCGGCTGGGATGGGGTCAGGATGTGGTGGGGATGCGGCTGGGATGGGGTCGGGATGCAGCTGGGTTGGAGTCGGGATGCGGCTGGGATGGGGTCAGGATGCGGCTGGGATTAGGTCAGGATGTGGCTGGGATGGGGTCAGGATGTGGCTGGGATTGGGTCAGGATGCGGCTGGGATTGGGTCAGGATGCGGCTGGGATGGGGTCAGGATGCGGCTGGGATTGGGTCAGGGTGGCGTTGGGATGGGGCTGGAACGCATCCGGGATGAGGTTGGGATGGGGCCCAATTCCATATGGAAATCTGCGCTTCCTTTGGTTGAATTCCCAAGGGAAGGGGGCTCACGCATTCTGTCCCCATCCCAACATCCCCCCCCATGTGCATCCCTAAGGCGCCGTGTGCGACTTCCGCCTCTCCTATGGGCGCCTCTTCGGCCGCGGCGCCGCCATCGTGGCGGTGAACCGGGATCGGGAGCAGCTCCTCCGGAATTCCGACATCTTCTGGAAAGCCCGGCTGGCCGTGCAAGGTGGGAGCATGCCGGGCCCGAGGTGGGTGCTGTGGGGCGGGCGCTATGGGGCTCTGTGGGGTGATGGGTGCTCTCCATAGGGGATGCCGCCTCCTTCGTGGTGCGGCTGGCGCGGAGCCTCCCGGGATACGGCTGCTCCGGGGAATGGCTGCAGCGGCTGCGGGAGAGGGAGCGGGGCAAGGAGCAGGAGAACCGGTGAGAGGGGGTGGGATGGGGATGGGGTGGGGATGGGGTGGGAATGGGGATGGGGTGGGGATGGGGATGGGGTGGGGATGGGGTTGGGGATAGGGATGGGGACAAGGATGTGAACAGGGATGGATGGGGATGGGAATGGGTTGGGGATGGGAATGAGGACGTGGACAGGGATGGGGATGGGAATGGGATGGGGATGAAGATTTGGATAGGGATAAGAATGGGGACAAGGATGGGGGTGGGGATAAGGATAGGGATGGGAATGGGGTTGGGGGTAGGGATGGGGACAACTGCTCCATCCCCATCCCTTGTGCATCCCAATCCATTCCCAACTGCTCCATCCCCGGTGCATAGCAACCCATTCCCAGCTGCTCCATCCCTGGTGCATCCCAACCCATTCCCAACTGCTCCATCCCCGGCTCATCCCAACCCATTCCCAACTGCTCCATCCCTGATGCATCCCAACCCATTCCCAACTGCTCCATCCCCATCTCCGGCTCATCCCAACCCATTCCCAACTCCTCCATCCCCATCCCCGGCTCATCCCAACCCATTCCCAACTGCTCCATCCCCATCCCCGGTGCATCCCGACCCATTCCCAACTGCTCCATCCCCATCCCCGGCTCATCCCAACCCATTCCCAACTGCTCCATCCCCATCCCCGGTGCATCCCGACCCATTCCCAACTGCTCCATCCCCATCCCCGGCTCATCCCAACCCATTCCCAACTGCTCCATCCCCATCCCCGGCTCATCCCAACCCATTCCCAGCTGCTCCATCCCCGGCTCATCCCAACCCATTCCCAACTGCTCCATCCCCATCCCCGGCTCATCCCAACCCATTCCCAGCTGCTCCATCCCCGGCTCATCCCAACCCATTCCCAACTGCTCCATCCCCATCCCCGGCTCATCCCAACCCATTCCCAACTGCTCCATCCCCGGCTCATCCCAACCCATTCCCAACTGCTCCATCCCCATCCTCGGCTCATCCCAACCCATTCCCAACTGCTCCATCCCCGGCTCATCCCAACCCATTCCCAACTGCTCCATCCCCATCCCCGGCTCATCCCAACCCATTCCCAACTGCTCCATCCCCATCCCCGGCTCATCCCAACCCATTCCCAACTGCTCCATCCCCATCCCCGGCTCATCCCATTGCCTCTTCCTGCCTCGGGATCAGGGAGAAGGCTGCGATCCCGACGGAGCAGCACCTGAACCCCCTGGAGCTGCTGCAGGTCCTGGATGAGCTCCTGCCTCCCGAGAGCCTTCTGGTGGCCGATGGGGGGGACTTCGTGGGTACCGCAGCCTACATCGTGCGGCCCCGGCGGCCCCTGGCCTGGCTGGATCCCGGTGAGGAGCCCTCGGGATCATGGGATCATGGGGGTGGGAAGGAGCTCCAAGCTTCCAGCAGGGCCACTTGGATGCTCCAAGCCCCATCCAGCCTGGGATGCTGCATCCAAACCTTCTCCGTGCAGCCCATCCCAGTGCTTCCCAAGGACCCCATCACCCCTTGTCCCATCCCTCCGTGTCCTCCTTGTGTCGAGGACACCAGAGCTGGGTGCAGCACCCAAGTGGGGTCTCGCCAAGCAGATCAATGGGGCAAGATCCCCTCCTTGGACCTGCACCCACTCTATGGTTGGCTGGGTCCTGTTGAGCATCTCCTCACCCAACACCCCCAAGGCCTTCTCAGGCTCCTCCATCCAGTCCGTGCCTCCCTTGGGATCATCCCAACCCATGGGCAAGGACCTTGCCCTTGGCCCCATTGATCTCCATGAGGTTCCCACCTCTCCAGGGCCCTCTGGATCCCATCCCTCCCCTCCAGCTCGGTGCCACCACGACCGTGCCCATGTCCCCAAGAGCGATGCTGAGCCCCTTCTCCACTTGGCCATGGAGCCATTGACCACAATCCAGCCACCATAGGGGACACAGCCAAGGGGACAGGACCATGGGGACACCACCATGGGTGGATACGAACAAGGGGACACCACCATGGGTGACACAACCAAGGGGACGTGACCATGGGTGACATGAACAAGGGGACGCCACCATGGGTGACACAACCAAGGGGACGTGACCATGGGTGACATGAACAAGGGGACAGGACCATGGGTGACATGAACAAGGGGACACCACCATGGGTGACATGGACAAGGGGACGTGACCATGGGTGACACAACCAAGGGGACGCCACCATGGGTGACATGAACAAGGGGACGTGACCATGGGTGACACAACCAAGGGGACACCACCATGGGTGACACGACCAAGGGGACATGACCATGGGTGACATGAACAAGGGGACACCACCATGGCTGACATGAACAAGGGGACACCACTATGGGTGACACAACCAAGGGGACACCACCATGGGTGACACAACCAAGGGGATGCCACCATGGGTGACATGAACAAGGGGACACCACCATGGGTGACATGGACAAGGGGACACCACCATGGGTGACATGGACAAGGGGACACCACCATGGGTGATACGACCAAGGGGACATGACCATGGGTGACATGCCCAAGGGGGGCATGACCGTGTGTGACACCACCATGGATTGGATGACACCACCGTGGGTGACGTGGCCATGGGTGACGTGATCAAGGTGACATGGCCAATGGGACATGACCATGGGTGCCACCCCTGTGGATGCCATCACCATGAGTGCCACCCCCATGGATGCCATCCCCATGGATTCCACCCCCATGGGTGCCACCCCCATGTGTGACACGACCAAGTGGACGCCCCCATGGGTGCCAACCCCATGTGTGACAGTACCAAGGGGACACCCCCATGGGTGCCATCCCCTTGGGTGCCACCCCCATGGATGCCAACCCCATGGGTGCCACCCCCATGTGTGACACGACCAAGGGGACACCCCCATGGGTGTCATCACCATGGATGCCAACCCCATGGGTGCCAACCCCATGGATGCCATCACCATGGGTGCCACCCCCATGTGTGACACAACCAAGGGGACACCCCCATGGGTGTCATCACCATGGATGCCATCCCCATGGGTGCCACCCCCATGTGTGACACAACCAAGGGGACACCCCCATGGGTGTCATCACCATGGGTGCCACCCCCATGGGTGACACTACCAAGGGGACACCCCCATGGGTGCCATCCCCATGGGTGCCAACCCCATGGGTGCCACCCCCATGGGTGCCATCCCCTTGGATGCCAACCCCATGGGTGCCCCCCCCCCCCCGTGCTGTCCCCACAGGCCCCTTTGGAACGTTGGGTGTCGGAGGCGGCTTCGCGCTCGGGGCCAAGCTCTGCCGGCCCGAGGCCGAGGTACCGGGACCGGGACCGGGACCGGGGGGTGCGGGGGGGGCCGCTGCTGCCCCCGTGTGGCCTCACGGTGCCATGACCGGTGTCGTGTGTGTGTGTGCTCCCCCCCTGCCCCACAGGTCTGGGTCCTCTATGGGGATGGGTCCCTGGGCTACAGCCTCATGGAGTTCGACACCTTCGTGAGGCACAAGGTGGTGCGGTGGGGGGAATGGGGGGGAACGGGGGGAATGGGAGGGAAATGGGGAATGGGGGGGAATGGGAGGGGAATGAGGGGGAATGGGGGGGGAATGGGGGGGATTGGGTGAGAATGGAGGAGAACGGGGGGGAATAGGGGGGAAAAGGGAGGGATGGAGGGGAATGGAAGAAATGGGGGGGAATGGGGTGGGAATGGATGGAATGGGGGGGGGATGAAGGGAAATGGGGGGGAATGGAAGGGGATGGAGGGGAATGAGGGAGAATGGGAGGAATGGGGGGAATGGAAGGGGAATGGGGTGGGAATGGGAGGGAATGGGAGGGGAATGGAAGGGAAATGGGGAATGGGGGGGGAATGGAAGGGGATGGAGGGGAATGAGGGGGAATGGGGTGGGAATGGGAGGGGAATGGGAGGAATGGAAGGAATGGGGGGGAATGGAAGGGGATGGAGGGGAATAGGGGGGGAATAGGAGGGGAATGAGGGGGAATGGGGTGGGAATGGAGGGGAATGGAAGGGGATGGAGGGGGAATGAGGGGGAATGGGGGGGGAATGGATGGGAATGAGGGGGAAATGGGGGGGGAATGGAAGGGGATGGTGGGGAATGAGGGGGGAATGGGGAAGGAATGGGGTGGGAATTGGATGAGAATGGGGGGGAATGAGGGGGAATGGGGGGAATGGAAGGAATGGGGGGGAATGAGGGGGAAATGGGGGGAATGGGGTGGGAATGGAAGGGGATGGGGGGAATGGGAGGGGAATGGAGGGGAATGGGGGGGAATAGGAGGGGAATGAGGGGGAATGGGGTGGGAATGGAGGGGAATGGAGGAGAATGGAAGGGGATGGAGGGGATTGAGGGGGAATGGGGGGAAATGGAAGGAATGGGGGGGAATGGATGGGAATGAGGGGGAAATGGGGGGGGAATGGAAGGGGATGGTGGGGAATGAGGGGGAATGGGGAAGAAATGGGGTGGGAATTGGATGGGAATGAGGGGGGAATGGGGGAATGGAAGGAATGGGGGGGAATGAGGGGGAAATGGGGGGGGAATGGGGGGGGAATGGAGGGGAATGGGGGGGAATGGAAGGGGATGGGGGGAATGGAAGGGGATGGGGGGAATGGGGTGGGAATGGGGGAATGGAGGGGAATGGGGGAATGGAAGGGGATGGGGGGGAATGGGGGGAATGGGGGGGAATGGAGGAATGGGGGTGAATGAAGGGGACTAGGGTGGGAATGGGAGAGGAATGGAAAGGGAATGGGGGGATGGAGGGGAATGGGGTGGGAATCGAGGGGAATGGGGGGAATGGAAGGAATGGGTGAATGGAAGGGGAATAGGGTGGGAATGGGAGAGGAATGGAAGGGGAATGGGGGGGAATGGAGGGGAATGGAAGGAATGGGGGAAATGGGGGGGAATGGGGGGAATGGAGGGGAATGGAAGGAATGGGGGAAATGGGGGGGAGATGGGAGGGGAATGGAAGGGAGTGGGGTGGGAATGGGGGAGAATGGAAGGGGATGGATGGGAATGAGGGGGAACGGGGGGGAATGGAAGGAATGGGGGGGAATGAGGGGGAAATGGAAGGGGATGGATGGGAATGGGGGGAATCGGGGATGGGGAGGAATGGGGGTGGGGAATGGGGAAGATGGGGGTAATGAAAGGGAATGCAAAGGAATGAGGGGAATGGGGGGGAACGGGGGGGGAATGGAGGAGAATGGGGAGGAATGAAGGGGAATGGGGGGGATTAGGGGGGAAGGAGGGGAATGGGGGGGAATGGGGAATTCTAGAGAGGAACAGGGCAAATGGAGGGGAATGGGGATAATGGGAGGGAATGGGGTTCAATGGGCATAAATGGGGGTTAATAGGGATCAGTGGGGGGTTAATGGGTTGAGTGGGGGTTATTGGGGTTCAGTGGGTGTCAGTGGGGTTAATGGGGTTCAGTGGGTGTCAGTGGGGGGTAAAATGGGATTTAGTGGGTGTTAATGGGGTTCCGTGGGTGTCAGTGGGGTCAGTGGGTGTCAGTGGGGGGTAGTGGGGTTCCATGGGTGTCAGTGGGGTTCAGTGGGGGTAATGGGGTTCCGTGGGTGTCAGTGGGGTTCAGCAAGTGTCAATGGGGGGTAATGGGGTTCCATGGGTGTCAATGGGGTTCAGTGGGTGTCAGTGGGTGGTAATGGGGTTCCATGGGGGTTAATGGGGTTGAGTGGGGGTTATTGGGGTTCAGTGGGTGTCAGTGGGGGGTAATGGGGTTCAGTGGGTGTAAGTGGGGGGTAAAATGGGGTTCAATGGGTGTTAATGGGGTTCAGTGGGTGTAAGTGGGGGTTAATGGGGTTCAGTGGGTGTAAGTGGGGGGTAAAATGGGGTTCAGTGGGTGTTAATGGGGTTCCATGGGTGTCAGTGGGGGTAATGAGGTTCCATGGGTGTCAATGGGGGGTAATGAGGTTCCATGGGTGTCAATGGGGGGTAATGGGGTTCCATGGGTGTCAATGGGTGTCAGTGGGGGGTAATAGGGTTCCATGGGTGTCAATGGGAGGTAATGGGGTTCCATGAGTATCAGTGGGTGTCAGTGGGGGGTAATGGGGTTCCATGGGTGTCAATGGGGGGTAATGGGGTTCCATGGGTGTCACTGGCTGTCAATGGGGGGTAATGGGATTCCATGGGTGTCAGTGGGGGTAATGGGGTTCCATGGGTGTCAAGGGGTGTCAATGGGGGGTAATGGGGTTCCATGGGTGTCAAGGGGTGTCAATGGGGGGTAATGGGGTTCCATGGGTGTCAATGGGGTTCCATGGGTGTCAATGGGGGGTAATGGGGTTCCATGGGTGTCAATGGGGTTCCATGGGTGTCAATGGGGTTCCATGGGTGTCCCGGCAGGTCCCGGTCATCGCGCTGGTTGGGAATGACGCGTGCTGGAGCCAGATCGCGCGGGAGCAGGTGGCTCTGCTGGGCAGCGGCGTCGCCTGCGGCCTCCACTACCTGGGTGGGTGCCAACGGGGTCCCCATGGGGTGCATTGGGTGTCCCCATGGGGTGCATTGGGTGTGTCTGGTGTCCCCTGGTCCCCATGGGATGGATGAGCCCATTCCTGGTGTCCCCATGGATGGATGAGCCCATACCTGGTGTCCCCATGGATGGATGAGACCATTCCTGGTGTCCCCATGGATGGATGAGCCCATTCCTGGTGTCCCTATGGATGGATGAGCCCATTCCTGGTGTCCCCATGGATGGATGAGCCCATACCTGGTGTCCCCATGGATGGATGAGCCCATTCCTGGTGTCCCCATGGATGGATGAGCCCATTCCTGGTGTCCCTATGGATGGATGAGCCCATTCCTGGTGTCCCCATGGATGGATGAGCCCATACCTGGTGTCCCCATGGATGGATGAGCCCATTCCTGGTGTCCCCATGGATGGATGAGCCCATTCCTGGTGTCCCCATGGATGGATGAGCCCATTCCTGGTGTCCCCATGGGTCAGATGAGCCCATTCCTGGTGTCCCCATGGGTTGGATGAGCCCATTCCTGATGTCCCCATGGGTTGGATGAGCCCATTCCTGGTGTCCCCATGGATGGATGAGCCCATTCCTGGTGTCCCCATGGATGGATGAGCCCATTCCTGGTGTCCCCATGGGTCAGATGAGCCCATTCCTGGTGTCCCCATGGGTTGGATGAGCCCATTCCTGGTGTCCCCATGGATGGATGAGCCCATTCCTGGTGTCCCCATGGATGGATGAGCCCATACCTGGTGTCCCAATGGATGGATGAGCCCATACCTGGTGTCCCCATGGATGGATGAGCCCATTCCTGGTGTCCCCATGGATGGATGAGCCCATTCCTGGTGTCCCCATGGATGGATGAGCCCATACCTGGTGTCCCCATGGATGGATGAGCCCATTCCTGGTGTCCCCATGGATGGATGAGCCCATTCCTGGTGTCCCCATGGATGGATGAGCCCATACCTGGTGTCCCAATGGATGGATGAGCCCATACCTGGTGTCCCCATGGATGGATGAGCCCATTCCTGGTGTCCCCATGGGTTGGATGAGCCCATTCCTGATGTCCCCATGGGTTGGATGAGCCCATTCCTGGTGTCCCCATGGGTTGGATGAGCCCATTCCTGATGTCCCCATGGGTTGGATGAGCCCATTCCTGGTGTCCCCATGGGTTGGATGAGCCCATTCCTGATGTCCCCATGGGTTGGATGAGCCCATTCCTGGTGTCCCCATGGGTTGGCTCAGCCCATTCCCGGTGCCTCCATGGCTCCATGGCGGTGCCGGTTCCCCTGTCCCTGCAGGATACCACCTGGTGGCCGAGGCTCTGGGTGCCAAAGGCTTCGTGGTTGGGCGCCAGGACCGGGAGCGCTTGGGCAGCGTCATCCTCGCCGCGCAGGATTCGTGCCGCCGCGGCCACCCCGTCCTGCTCAACGCCCTCATCGGCCGCACCGGCTTCCGCGACGGCGCCATCTCCGTGTAGGCACCGGGGCCGGCGATGGCCACAAAGGGGCCGCAAAGGGGCTCCCAAGTGGCCCCAAAATGGCCCTAAAGTGACCCAGAGTGGCTCCCAATTGGCCCCAAACTGGCCCTAAATTGTCACCAAAGAGGATCTAAAGTGTCACCAAAATGGTCCCAAAGTGTCACCAAAGAGGATCTAAAGTGGCCATAAAATGGTCCCAGATTGGCCCCAAAATAGCCCTAAAGTGTCACCAAAGAGGATCTAAAGTGGCCCTAAAATGGTCCTAAAGTGTCACCAAAATGGCCCTAAAGTGACCCAAAGTGGCTCCAAATTGGCCCCAAAATGGCCCTAAAGTGTCACCAAAGAGGATCTAAAGAGGCCCCAAAATGGTCCCAAAGTGTCACCAAAATGGTCCCAAAGTGTCACCAAAGAGGATCTAAAGTGGCCATAAAATGGTCCCAAATTGGCCCCAAAATAGCCCTAAAGTGTCACCAAAGAGGATCTAAAGTGGCCCTAAAATGGTCCTAAAGTGTCACCAAAATGGCCCTAAAGTGACCCAAAGTGGCTCCAAATTGGCCCCAAAATGGCCCTAAAGTGTCACCAAAGAGGATCTAAAGAGGCCCCAAAATGGTCCCAAAGTGTCACCAAAATGGTCCCAAAGTGTCACCAAAGAGGATCTAAAGTGGCCATAAAATGGTCCCAAATTGGCCCCAAAATAGCCCTAAAGTGTCACCAAAGAGGATCTAAAGTGGCCCTAAAATGGTCCTAAAGTGTCACCAAAATGGCCCTAAAGTGACCCAAAGTGGCTCCAAATTGGCCCCAAAATAGCCCTAAAGTGTCACCAAAGAGGATCTAAAGTGTCCCCAAAATGGTCCCAAAGTGTCACCAAAATGGCCCTAAAGTGACCCAAAGTGGCTCCAAATTGGCCCCAAAATGGTCCTAAAGTGTCCCCAAAATGGCCCTAAAGTGACCCAAAGTGGCTCCAAATTGGCCCCAAAGCGTCACCAAATTGGCCCCAAAGCGTCACCAAAGTGGCCCCAAAATAACCCCATATGACTCTAAAATAGCCCCAAAGTGGTGCTAAAGTGGCCCCCCCAATGGCCTGAAAATGGCCTAAAAGTGGTCCCAAAGTTTCCCCAAAATGGCCCTAAAGTGACCCCCCCAAATGGCCTGAAAATAGCCCTAAAGTGACCCAAAGTGGCTCCAGATTGGCCCCAAAACGTCACCAAAGTGGCCCCAAAATAGCCCCTAAATGACTCTAAAATAGCCCCAAAGTGGTGCTAAAGTGGCCCCAAAATAGCCCCTAAATGACTCTAAAATAGCCCCAAAGTGGTGCTAAAGTGGCCCCCAAATGGCCCTAAAGTGACCCAAAGTGGCTCCAAATTGGCCCCAAAATGGCTACAGAATAGCCCCAAAGTGCTGCTAAAGTGACCTCAAAGTGGTCCCCGAATGGCTTGAAAATGGCCCCACAGTGGCCCCATGGGATGGGTTTGGGTGACGCTGGGGCCAGCCCCATCCTTGCCCCCCCCATCCCCACAGTGTCCCCATGGGGTGGGTTTGGGGACAGCCACATCCCCGTCATCATTTGGGTGCCAACGCCTCGGGGACACCCAAAGTGACACTTTGGGCACTGTGCCCTCCCCTTATCGATGTCCTCCCCTTATCGATGTCACCCCAATATCAGTGTCCCCCCCATATCAATGTCCCCCCCATATAACCCCCCCCTTTAGATGCCACCACACACAGAGCCCGGTGGCAAGTGCAGCTTGTGTCATTTATTGCTGGTGACAGTGACAAGGCAGTGGCAGGATAAGGGGGGGGTCAGGCCACCCTTGGGGGGGGGGACACAACACACAGGGGACACCTTTGTGTGTCGTCCCCCCCCGCCCCAGGCACTAACCCTGGTGGTTTCACATTGAGCTGGTTCCTTTAAGGCTAATACTGAGCAAGGCTTTGGGGGGGGGGGGTGTATTTTAGGGTCCCCCCCCCATAATACTGGTAATGGGGTGGAAGGGATGGGGGAGAGGATTTTGGGGGTCCCCCCCATAACACTGTCAATGGGTCTATTTTGGGGGTGCAAAGAGGCTGTGGTGATGGTGCAATAAATAAAGCTGAGCCCCCCCACCCCGTACCGGCTGCCCCCACTGTGAGGGGGGACTGGAAAATGGAGGGTGGGGGGGTCCCCATTGCCACCCAAGCTGGGTTTGGGTGACATTGGGGTGTCCTAGAACCCTTTTTGGGGTGCAAAAGGGGGGTTGGGGGGACTGAGCCAGGGAGGTCATGGACCCTTGTCAATAGTCCCTAATACTGATGGGGTTGGGGGGCTGGGGGGGGTGGACAAGGGTCCCAATGGAGGGGGGGGGGGGGTCCCCATTGTCACCCAGCTGGGGGTGGGCGATATGGGGGTGCCCCATCACCATTCATGAGGTGCAAAAGGCAGTCATGGACCCTTGTCAATAGTCCCTAATACTGATGGCTTGGGGGGGGGGGACGGGACACAACTGTGGGGAGGGCCCCAAGGGGGGGGACAAGGGGATAAAAAGGCACTTGGGCCATCTCCAACCAAACCAGAGCCAAAGGAGGCCCCGAATCCTTCCTCTGACCACCACCCCCCCCCGATGGGGGGGTGGGGGGGTCCCCACCTCAGCCCTGGTGGCATCGGTGTCACCATCGGGTCCCTCCTGCTCCGTGCTGTGCAAATCGAAGGCAACTCCAGGCAAGTGCTGCTGTTTGGTGGCATCATCACCGGTGGCATCATTGTCACTGGTGTGGGCATTGTGACTGGTGGCATCGTCACTGGTGGCATCGTTGTCACCGGTATTGGCATTGTCACTGGTGTCTGGTGGCATCATCACCGGTGTCATCGCTGTCACCGGTATTGGCATTGTCACTGGTGTCTGGTGGCATCATCACCGGTATCATCACTGTCACCGGTACTGGCATTGTCACTAGTGGCATCGTCACTGGTGTCATCGTTGTCACCGGTATTGGCATTGTCACTGGTGTCTGGTGGCATCATCACCAGTGTCATCACTCACCGGTACTGGCATTGTCACTGGTGTCTGGTGGCATCATCACCGGTGTCATCGTTGTCAATGGTCGTGGCATTGTCACTGGTGTCTGGTGGCATCATCACCGGTGTCATCGTTGTCACCAGTATTGGCATTGTCACTGGTGTCTTGTGGCATCATCACCGGTATCATCACTGTCACCGGTACTGGCATTGTCACTGGTGGCATCGTCACTGGTGTCATCATTGTCACCAGTATTGGCATTGTCACTGGTGTCTGGTGGCATCATCACCGGTGTCATCGTTGTCAATGGTCTTGGCATCGTCACTGGTGTATGGTGGCATCATCACCGGTGTCATCACTGTCACCGGTATTGGCATTGTCACAGGTGTCTGGTGGCATCATCACCGGTGTCATCTCTGTCACCGGTACTGGCATTGTCACTGGTGTTGTCATCACCGGTGTCTGTTGGCACTGTCACCAATGTCAGTGTCACCGGTGTCTGTTGGCACTGTCACTGATGTTGATGTCTGTTGTCACTCGTGCCAGTGTCACTGGTGTCCACTGTCACCAGTGTCTGTTGTCACCAGTGCTGCTGTCACCGGTGTCCAGTGTCACCAGTGTCTGTTGTCACCGCTGTCACCAGTGTCCAGTGTAACCAGTGCCGCTGTCACCAGTGCCACTGTCACCAGTACTGCCATCACCAGTGTCCGGTGTCACCAGTGCTGCTATCACCAGTGCCACTGTCTGGTGTCTGTTGTCACTGCTGTCACCGGTGTCCACTGTCACTGCTGTCCGCTGTCACTGCTGTCACCAGTGTCTGCTGTCACTGGTGACCGCTATCACTGGTGTCTGTTGCCACCACTGTCACCAGTGCCGCTGTCACCAGTGTCTGCTGTCACTGCCGTCACCAGTGTCTGTCATCACCACTGCCACTGTCACCGGTGTCCAGTGTCACCAGTGTCTGTTGTCACCACTGTCACCATTATCCAGTGCCACCAGTGCTGCTGTCACCAGTGCCACTGTCACCAGTACTGCCATCACCAGTGTCCGGTGTCACCAGTGCTGCTATCACCAGTGCCACTGTCACCGGTGTCTGTTGTCACCGCTGTCACCGCTGTCCGCTGTCACCGGTGTCTGCTGTCACCACTGTCATCAGTGCCACTGCTGTCTGTTGCCACCACTGTCACCAGTGTCTGCTGTCACCACTGTCATCAGTGTCACTGCTGTCTGTTGCCACCACTGTCACCAGTGTCTGATGTCACCAGTGCCGCCATCACCGGTGTCTGTTGCCACCACTGTCACCAGTGCCGCCAACACCGGTGTCTGTTGCCACCACTGTCACCAGTGACGCCGTCACCGGTGTCCGGTGTCACCAGTGCTGCTATCACCAGTGCCGCTGTCACCGGTGTCTGTTGTCACCGCTGTCACCACTGTCCGCTGTCACCGCTGTCTGCTGTCACCAGTGTCTGCTGTCACCACTGTCATCAGTGTCACTGGTGTCTGTTGCCACCACTGTCACCACTGTCTGCTGTCACCAGTGTCTGTTGCCACCACTGTCACCAGTGTCTGATGTCACCAGTGCCGCCATCACCGGTGTCTGTTGCCACCACTGTCACCAGTGCCGCCGACACCGGTGTCTGTTGCCACCACTGTCACCAGTGCCGCCGTCACCGGTGTCCGGTGTCACCAGTGCTGCTATCACCAGTGCCGCTGTCACCGGTGTCCGTTGTCACCGCCGTCACCAGTGTCCAGTGTCACCAGCGCCACCGGTGCCGCGCTCACAGGCACACGTTGATCTGCTGCCCCAGCTCCCTCTCCAGGTCCAGGATGAGCGCATCGAAGTCCTTCAGGTTGAGCCGGGGCTCCTCCCGCAGCCCGAAAGGGGTCGTCCCCCCGCCGGGGTCCCCGTGCCCGGGGGTCCCGGTGCCGCTGGCCCCGGGCAGCAGCAGGAGCTGGCGGCCGCACACGCTCCAGTCCCCCGCGTACCGGTTACTTGGGGGGCTCTCGGGGCCGCGGGGCCGGGGCCGGGCCACGACC